TCCTATTTTTTTGAGTTTTTTATGTTTTATTCCTAATTCTTTTTTTGATATATATGTGTTTTTATTTATTTATATTATATATATTTTTGTTGTTTTTTAATATTGAATTATTTTCCACCCTATAGGAAGTGGTTAATAGATTTTATATTGGAATCCATATTTGTGATGTTTTTACACCATACTCCCACTTAATATTTGGTTAAAGCAGTTAGTCAATGGATCCCGCCGAATATTTCGTTAGAACACTTCGCTAATGGATCCCGCCGAATATCCCGCCAGAATAATGGATCCCGCCGAGTATTCTATTAGAGCAACCCCATTAATGAATCCTGCCGAGTATCCCTCTAAGTATCCTAAAACTGGTGGATCCCATCGAATCTCTTTCAGAATAGTTCGATCCCGCTGAATATCCTACTAGAACAACTGACTAATGGATCCCGCCTAGTGTTCCGTCAGAACTACTCGCTAGTGAGTATCCTACCAGAATAACCCATTTATAGACTCGCCGAGTAAATCTCGGATCGACTCGCTAACATTCACTAGTGGATCCCGCTAATATCCCGCTAGAATAACTCGCCAATCTGGCATTGTTTCATATTCCGTCCGGCATATAGTTAGGTTTACATTTCATATTAGTGCTTTCGTGTTTTAAATATATGCTCGGAAAAATAAATAATATTTTTGTATTATTTTGGGTTATAAATATATAATTATGTTAAATCCCCCCGACGGGTTTCTTTTTGGAAAGGGCTTAGCTTTTGATAACGAAACCGATATTTGAGTTCTCGAGATCCAATTAGAATCTATTTATTATTATTAAATATTAAATATATTAGAATAGTTTATTATTTCCAATAATAATTCATAAGTTAAAATAAAGAAAATAAATCTTAAAAAAGAGAAATATATGAAAATTAAAAAAGAATACCTTAGAATATGTTAGTAAATATTCCTAAAAAATAGAAATCCTTTCCCAAATTTAAATCATAAAAACCTACTAAATTTCGTTAAATTTAAAAGAATCCCAAATTATTATGGGGTTTGCAATCGGATGCAATACAATACAATGTTTACAACAAAATTAAAATTGCGGTTATGTCCGCCAAATCAGTCCCAAAAACACCGAAAAGGCAAATGGAAATAAATGAAAACCAATCTAAAACGATCCAAAATAAAAAATAGAAAAATCAAGAAAATGAAAAAGAAAGACATAAATAGAAAGAGAAAGAAAGAGAAAAAGAGATATAGAAAGACAGAGAAATGAAGATAAAAAGAAAGGCAAGGAAATATAAAACAATCAACAATAGTAAGAACCATAAAATAACTAAAGATATATAAAAAAATATATAGATAAATAAAAAGAAAAAACAACAATAACATCCAAAAAATATACAACAACAAAACATATGAAACATCAATCAATTTCAACATCCGATTAATACAGCTAATACAAAAAATCGAATCGAATAAGAATTCTAATATAAAAATAAAAAGAAAGAAAATTACTTCGCTTCGAGCAACCCCCACCCTCCACACTCACGAGCTTACGACCGTCAAACTCCACTTGTCTACGAACTGATCTCGAGAACTCAAACATCGGTTCCGTTAACAAAAGCCAAGCCCCTTCCAAACACAAACCTGACGGGGGATTAAACGAAGTTGCTTATTCACAACCCAAAGCAACACAAAAGCTTCCCTTTCCGATCTCTCGCAAAACACGAGGGCAGCCCCACTGCGCGCCGGGCGGGACATTAAGCAAAACCAGACTGGCGAGCTTTTCTGGCGGGACACTGGCGGGATCCACTGGCGAATAATGGCGAGCCGCTCCGGCTTGATACTGGGAGGATACTCGGCAGGATCCACTGGCAAGGGATACTCAGCGGAATATTCGGCGGGATCCACTAGCGAGCTACTATGTGGGATACTCAGCGGGATACTCGGCGGGATCCACTGGCGAGCTACTGTGTGGGATCCACTGGCGAGCTACTCTAGCGGGATACTCGGCGGGATCCACTAGCGAGCCTCTCTGGCAGCATACTCGGCGGGATCCACTGGCGAGCCGCTCTGGCAGAATACTCGGCGGGATCCACTGGCGAGCGGCTCGGCGGGATACTCGGCGGGATCCACTGGTGAGCCGCTCTGGTGGGCTACTCGGCGGGATCCACTGGCGAGCAGCTCTGGCGGGATACTGGGCGGGATCCACTGGCAAGCAGCTCTGGCGGGATACTCGGCGGGATCCACTGACGAGCTGCTCTGGCGGGATACTTGGCGGGATCCACTGGAGAGCTGCTCTGGCGGGATATTGGGTGGGGGCGTGGTGTAGAAGCATCGCAAACGTGGATTCCAACATAAAATCTAACAACCCCTTCCTGTCGGGTGGGGAAAAATGAAATATAAAAATACATATTAACAAACAAATTAAAATTATAAATAAATAAATACTAATGGGGGCCCGCTGCTTTCCAGCAGCGTGCGAGATGAAGCCCATGGCAGGAGAGTATTAGAATCAGAATATAGAATAAAAAAACATTCCAATTAAACAATTATAGACAGATATATACGATCATACTCTTAGAGACAAAAATAGGCACATTGAGCAAGTGCTTGACAAAAGGTAGATTCAGAATATTTCGAGAAAATAAATAATTACGATTTTAAGCCTTTGCCTTGGACCCTGCCCAAGCAAAATACTTAAAAGACTATATACTGCACTGAACTGGAGACCCAACCCAAATATCTAAAAACGAATTGTAGATCGAATTTCTCAATAGCACCTCAGTAAATTTCCTGCAGCACAACGATACACAAAGCAATACTGTGTCTCAGGTGCCCGATACTAACGTGTAGATATTTAGTCGTTGAAAGGCGGTCACCTAAACAAAAAGAGAATAGATCCGTAAACAATTGCTATAGTACACACGAAAACACCATCGACCAAAAAACATCCTGGGTACAAACAAAGCCGAACTAATTTCGCTCAAAACATTAAGAAAAGCGCCACTAGTCATAACAATCGGTTCTCATATCATCAAACTCTCGCAAAACGGACACAATATTTGAACCAATATAGTAATGGAATATCTAAATAAACTATTTTTTTAACCTCCCAAAAAACGTCCTTCATAAATATGGTCATTCCATAACAAACCATGCCAATGCGGCTTCGATCAACCTAAAGAATTATATATTCGAATCTCATAAACTAGGCCGAAATCGGCCAACTTCACCATCTCGTTATTAACCTAAATCTTGTTATTTAAATATCCTTTAATCCTTTTTTAAAACTAAATCAAACAAACCTCGAAAAAGAAGGCTTCGATTCCAATTTTAAAGCAAACCATTCCGCTCCTCTAACAAATTCTTTCTTATTCCTCCATAAATCTTTCAGCCAAAACAAACCCATACAACATATCCGAAAACCGTATCGAAAAGATCTTCATACCCACAACCTCTATCGCTAAATTATTCAGACTTGAAACAATCTCCTCTTAAATATTTACGTACACCTAAACATAATAGCCTCCAATTTCCATAAATATTATCCTAGCTTTCCCAACAACATAAAAAATAAATAACATATATAAATAAAATTAATACATTTAGAAAATATATCGATAATATATTATAAATAAAGAAAAAATATATATTATATATAGATATATTTTATATATTTTTATGTAATTATATATATAGAATAAAAAATGAAATAGATTCGATCATATTAATGAAATAAATAAGATTTAAATACATAATAATTAAATAGAAATATAATTCATGATTAATTGGCTAAAGATAACCATAATTGGCCATATATATATTTGTATAAGTTAGTGCCAATTGGTTAGTAAATTATAATAATTCTTAATAAATTATAATATATATTCTTTATATAATATATAAATTGAATATTGCTGAAAATTATAGCTTAATATATTTTATATTTTTAAAAACATATAATTCTTCCTTTCTAATTAATTATCTACATATCAATCTACCTATATTATTATATAAATATATATTTATCATATCTATGTTCATTAATATTCTTCATTAATTTCAATAATAAAATAATATAACAACATTACATATCAAAATCCAAAGGAAAACATATTAAAATCAACCAATATTTCTATATATTTATATAACATTATAAAATATTAAAATTATACAAATATCAAATAAATATATTATTTACAAAATAAAATATAATTAGTATATATAAAAATCATATAATATCAAAATCCAATAAATAATTAATACTCCATCTATCAAATTATATGCTAAATCAAAATTAATTTCTATGTTTTTTTATTATTTTAGTATATAAAATATAAATCTTTATTTATGTATCTATTATATTCAATCAATATAAAAAACAAATCATAAAAATTAAATCCCACATATATATAATATAAAATAATATAAATAAATAATAATTCAAATTAAAAAATATAACCAATACCAAATTCAAATTCCAATATATATATATATATATTTAAAAAATATATCTAACACATTTAAAAACATAAATATATCAACAAATCCTAACAACACCAACACAAAAAAATAACCAACACAAAACATATTTCTACGTTTCATATACATATTGCTCATTACCATTAATATCTATATATATTATTATTAATAATAATTAATCAATAATAATATATTTTATCATAATTATTAAACAATCTAAAAATAAATCAATACATATATATATATACATATTCCTATTACAAACAATATCAGATAAATTCATGGATAGATATATATATATATATATGCATATATAATTCATATTTATTTTTTGTCAAATTCTGCGCTAATTCATCGATATTATGAGACATGTTCTATGTTCGGCAACACCGCTCTTGGGGCTGTCAAACATTCTACAAATTCCACGGAAGGCCGAGTTCACGCCAATCGTATTCTGTATGGGGTGCTAACACCCTCCAACTGGGAGACAATTGCAGAACACGCTGGACAAATGAAAGTGGCTTGGCAATTGCGATCTGAATACGACAGGCAGTTATTCTTCGTTCAAAGACCTCAGAGGCAAGGCGTTGGCAACTTGTTGTGTGTGTGTGTGTCACATTGCCAGAACCAGCTCATCAGTGTGGAGCGGAATACGATAACGTACAAATCCCGAAATTCAGCCCAGTTGGGCAACGCTGCGCCTTCGAATTTGGTAGCACCGACGCCGTTGAACTCAAACTGAATGCGACCGGCAAAGAACGTCAAACTAATTTCAAGGAGAATTTCCGGCACTCCCGACGGCTACCGGGAAAGACCCGCAAACCTCGAAGAGCCCCCTCACCAGGCTAGCCAGGAATCTGGGGAGAACCAAAGAGGGAAAATTGGCCTGATAGATGTGAACACACCGATTGGCAGCATTGGTCAGGTGAGGGATCCATGCGAGACAGAACAAACATATCATATGGATGGTTGTGTGCGAAGGATGCACATTTCAATTGCACTGCAAATTGACTGAAGGAACCCAAGAAAAGCGAGCGTCTGATTCACTCAAAGGGTGACAAGACCAAGCCCTCCAAGGCAGAGCCTACGCAAACTCTGGGAGGCCGCACTGATTTTAGACGGCTTCCTTGCGCCTGTGCAGGGCTGGTCAAGGGCTGACTCAGCCTTCATCCGGGCATGTCTTCGTTTGATGAAAAGCTTTCTTGGACTTTAAATGGAATCAACACAGGAACACACCCAGCTTGGGTGCCCCCAATCTTTTTGGGGGCAACCAACAAAGCTTGTTATATGAATACCCAACAGAAATGGACGTTCAAAGGAAGACCATGGAACCCGTTTGTTGAACACAGGTTAGCCCGCCTGGTGACCGCGGCGAAGCCCCGAAGGTCGCCGCGTGGCCATTCCTGCGCTCAGGTCCAAAGTCGGAGAACGCGGAAAGGAATGCTGCGACTGCCAGCCCCCCCCCCCCACCCCCCGGTCTCCTCTGAAACTTTGGGCTCATGGCCTCTCGAGATCTGGCCTGGCCAAGCTTTGAGACCGTGACACGGTTTGCGCTTAAGGAAAACGTAGAAGGCTCGCACCCCTCCCTCTCCCTTTGAGACAATCTCAAAAGCAAAGGCCGAAGGGCCGACCCGCAAACTTGCAATTTGCAGCCATCGGCCTGGGCACGAGGCGATTTTTGAGCCGCTGAGACACGAGTCATAATCAAACTTGGCGACTTAATCTCGCGGAGTCTACCCAAAAACCTACGTCAAGAAGTTGTACAGAAGGCGAACCGTGCTGCAGGTTGGAACAGGCGGGTGCTTCGTCATGACATCTGGGTATTTCCTGAAAAACGTGTCTACTCTCTTTTTCCGAGCTGAAAGCTGTGGGGTCCAAGTAAGCTCCTGAGTCAGAGCGCCGGCTGCGAAGATTCCGGCCAGGGCTCCGAGAGGGCCTACTTTTGACTGTGAAGGACACCAAAAGCTCACGGCTTAATTTGACGACAATCCGTAATCTATGGCTGAGAACCTTTCAATTGCCAGCTTTGGCGTTGAACTTTGCAACGATTGAACGGGTGCCCCTTGCTTTTCCCCTCCAACCGAACATCGGGGCCTGCGGCAGCATCTGCGACGGCTGCGGCGGCATCGGCACCGGCGGTGGCGCCCAGGAAGTACCCTGCGATCGTTTTTGCGAGGCAACTTCTCCGGCAGCTTCCCTGGCAGCTTCTTGCTTCTTTGGCCTCCCCAGCATGGCCCAGCCCTGCCTGGTAACCAGGGCGAGCCTGCCAGGAAGCCAAGCATCGGTTTGGGGGGGGGTGGTCTTTAGATTTCACCGTGTTGGAAAGGCCAAGTTGATTGTGCTTTCTTTGGTTGAGGTGATGTCCAAAAGACACACGAGAAACCTTACCGGCAAAGAGCAGCACAGAATCTCAACGAGTCATGTCACCCTACTTGAAACGCGTACAGTAGCACAAACTTTCAGCTCTTCGAAGCATGAAGGCCTTGAGTGCCGGTCATCTGCAAGAAAAAATACTGAGAGTGCCTTCATAAACCAGAGGCTGATGGCAACTACATACAATGTTACAACCAACGTTGACTTCGGATGTAGTAGTCAGCGGTGTTTACCCTTTTAGTACTAATAAGAATCAATTATGTATTTAATTTGATGAGACTTATCTCAAGGTCCTCCGGATTTATCCAAAGCTAACATTACTGCCAGCGAGGGTTGCCTGCGCCCCAAAGCAAATCCCCGACGGCCGCACCTAAAGACCTAAGCCGCCTGAAGCACTTGCCGTCTTTGCACGTGCGTGAATTAGCCATGTTTGAAAGACAAAGACAGGTGCTAGCAGCTAGCCTGCAAAGGGGCACGCAATTGACCCAAACCCTAAACTTAAATTTTATTTTTTAGACCCCAAACCTGCACCCACCCAAACCCAGACTCTGAGCTGCAACCCAAAACCTGGACCCTGAACCTGTTCATTCGATGGGCAGGCGCAGCAGTCAAACAGGGTGTTCTGGGATGCCTACCTGCTTTTCAGCAGGGTGGTTGATTGCCCGGCTTTCTGATAAACCCAAGCGCTGGGCCCTTGGTTGTGCATTCTGGGGACAAACGGACATTGGAAGCAGTTTCGGGGATTGATGGGACCACTCGGCAAATTCACAAAGAGCCCAGCAAGAGGCACCCCAGCCACAATTTGCAGGGTGAGACTCACTGTCCGTGAGCTCTGAGGCCTGCGAGGGTGACAAAGCCCTCGGCGGTGGTGACAAAGCCCTCGGTGGTGAACAACTTCGGGCTGGGGCAAAACCTGAGATGGGCAAAAACTCGATCGGTGAGCCTCCCCTCTTCCAGCAAATCAACCAGCTTGTTGGGATCCCTGCAAAACAGCCCAAAAACAGGCATCATCAACATCCACCACGCAGATTAAAGCCTGTCAGTGCCAGTCATTCCAAGGCTGACAGTCCACGAATCAACTCAAGCATCGGTAAGAACATCAGTGCGGTACGGCTTTCTTTCTCAACATCTTGCGAATTGGGCCGTCCATAGAACTCACCAACACCCGCTGTCTTATGCTGACCCCAGATTGATTAACCTGGCCTGCTGCACCCGAAAAAGCATCCACCAGAGGTTCTGCTTAATCAACTGGGTTCGCATGAACTTAAGGCTTTCAAAGAGAAACACCGGCTTCCTGGTACCTTGCCTCAGCTGCCATTGCAACGTGAGGGTAACAGGCAGGGTAAGGACTTGTTCATTGGCTCGCGTTACCTTTGTATTGCCATTGTTTGCTCATGGAAAGCCAGCCCGTCGGATAAATGCGACCATCCCACAAGACGAGCTGCTACTGCTGCCCATCACAGGCCTGGCATCCGACCACGCCGATCCGCTGGCCAGTGTTGCGGGGGTTCAATTAGATTCCCGGCCTAAAATATGGCCCCAAAAGAAAACTCACTTCTGCTTGGCAAGCAGAAGGTGAAGCTTAAAACCAGGGCCAGCAAAGGGAAAACCACACATACTACACTCGACAACCTGTCTTTGACGTGGACACCGATTGCCATCCAACTGAGCACAACTGCTCTGGCCTGTGCCACGTCACTGGGCTGGAGGGCAATGCCCTGGTAGCTGCAATGATGATTGAGCCATCCATTCCCATACTTTGTCTCGTGGCAAACACGACTCTGCGTTGGCAAAGTGCTGGCAACAGCATACATGCCGAGACTATCCTAACAACCTCATTTTGCAGGTGTCGTTGGAATCAGCATGAATCGTGCAGCTGGTCAAATGTCTTCGACATGAAGGTTGCCCATCCTTTGCTGGCTTGAGTTGCATAATCTGGGCTGTCCAAGAGGGAGGGCTGGCTAAACCCAGGCACAAAAGATGCCCCCAAATTCAGCAACCCACATGGATGGTCTTCAGCTCGCGGCGTTGGCGACGAGGCAGCGGGCTGGACCTCACAGACTGAAAAGGGCGAAGGCACAAAAAGACCCCCAAAAGTTTCCCAGAAATCTGGGGTTTCCTACAGCTCAACTGATTTGGTGTTAGTTGCAAGGCTCGTGCAAGGACTTCTGTTGGAACTTGGGTTTGTCGCAAGCTTCAAAGTGGGCGTCTGCTTCCCTTTGACTTTCACTTAAGCCAATCTGAAAACACATTCGCATGCAGCTTCATCCGAGGCATCTGGACCCCATGTCCGGGAGCCCCGCTGCCCGGAAGCTCCGCATGCTTGGGCTGGCGAACGGACCTCAGGCGGTCAGAAAGCCAAGAGCTTCTGGGGACTTTGGGATTTCTCCGCACGGCTAGCCTTGTGTCTTAGGCGCTTGGCAGTCTGAGAGGGTGAGTTCTTCAAGCGGAAGCGACCCCAGGCCTTAAGAGGGGCAAGTCGGACCCCCCACCCCTTCAAGCGGGATCAGAGGAAGATCGGACATATCACCCCTATAAATCCCCAGGCAAAAGCTCAAAGAAGGGAACCTTTTTGCACTGCACTAACACCAGGCAGAAGGTGCAACTTGGGCTATGCGCCTCAGGAATTACACAAATACGGATCCAGCTACTCTTCAGGGAGTTCTGTTTGAGACTCGACGACAACCTCCCCTGAAAACGCCTTCAGAACGCCTTCGAAGGCTTCTAAGCACAACCATCCCGAGCCCACTCTAGCACCTGCTTCTGAAGGCAACGCACCTCATTCACAGACGACAACTTGCAACCTGATCCCAAAATCCCAAGGCTTCCGGTTCCCGCAAGCCATTGAAGCTCTGGGCCGCCATGCTACGGTCAAGGCACGGCTTCGAAGGCACCTGCGCTAGAAAAAGTACAAGCCTCGCAAAAGGCAAGGGTTTGAACTATGCACCAACCTCCTCAAACCCTGCAAAACGTTCAAATAACCCTTATGTGAGGCCTAACAAATATTAATCACGTCTCCCCTGTTATTTGAGGGTTCCGCGCGAATTCCCTCAGGAGGTGTGGTTTTGAGGCAAGGCGCAATGTTGCAGTCCATATCAACATCGCCTTCAACATGTAGGCTTTCTTTCAAGACAGCAAGGGCAACCTCACGTGCACTTGGCAGTTGTGGTTCAGCAACTTTGCAGGCCATCCTGGCATCATCCCACTGGCCTTTGACCAACATATATCAAAAAGGGGCATTGTCCATGGATATGCGCAGCCTATATGCGCGCGGCCTATACATGAACTAGGGTGTGAATATCTAGCACCGCCAGAAGCTTGCACGTGTCACGGTAGGCCAGCCATGGATTATTTTATTGTGGTCAGGCCGGCACACGCACACACACACACACATACAGGATTCCAGTTGCAAGGCATGATTGTCCTATGTTCAGAGTACTGATTGCCATGGCGAGTAATGGGGCACTCGAACATGGTCGAATGTGCTGATTCTCAATGGCCAATCATCGGATGCCGGAAGCCAAATGTTCGAGGCACCCTGCACAGATATCCTCCCACCACAAAAAAATACGGTGCAACGTGAACTCTTTTCCACAGAGGAAAGGTTTGGTCGTCCCAAAGGGAGTCTGAGCACTTCGACGTTTGGGCCGTGATGGGCGGGCAAGAAAGGCAGCCTTTTCTCACGCTAGGTCGCTTTGAGTGGGCACCTTGTGGGAGGTGCCTCCCACTCCAAGCGAGTGAAACCACATGAAACCACTTAGGTCATACTCCAAACCTGGTAGAGGGGTCAAACCAGTGCAAAGTCAAAAAATAATGGCTGCTGCACCTGTTCATGGTTGGGGTTGTTCCCTACTTTCCTTCTTTTGCCTAGGTTTAATTGTGGTTCATCTACCGGAAATCCCGAACCTTGCAATCCCAACAGTTGCTTGACATCCTTAGCATCTGATTACATCCGTGGAGCGCTGCAGTTGCACATCTCAACAGATCCAACATGACTCATGTGGGGCTTTGACATACAGCACACTTCCAAATGAGAACCTCCACAGGTCCAACTATATTGCCAATCTGCGCAGGTACATCCTGCAATCGAACACATAAGAAAACACTTACCAACTTGCCCACAGGCATCCTGCGACAACCAGGGAATGGTTGTTTCCAAACATGGGGGTCCTAAAAGTGGTTGGTTTCTTCTGGGTTTCCCTGGAGCGCACCATCCAAAAGGGCCAAACCCCCATGTTTGAACACATGAAAACCGGCGGTGAAACAGTCTGGTGCATGCCGCGCTCCTACCGGTGCCGCAGCCTTCGGGAAAGGTCACTGTAGCCCCAACTCAGGCCATGGGGGGGAGCTATTTTCCCACGAGGGTACAGGGGAAACCATGCAATGGCAACCCAGCAGAACCCCCCCCCTTTGGATTTGTAGAGGGGGTGCCCGTTTTGGGAGGGGGACGGGGACCGGGGGACCTGATCGTGCTCAAAGGGTTGCAACCCTTTTGCTGGGTTGATTTTAGGGGCTTCTGAGTACCGTCCTTCGTATCCAAAGTCTACATTACTAGACATTTGCTAATTCTTGGGATGCGCGTGTGGGCGGCCAATCTATGCCAGAGCCATATGACGTTTGGCAAAGGTTTGCTAATCAATCATGTGGACAACTCATCTGCTTGGGAAGGGGGGCTCTGTAGATTTGTACCCGCACTCAGGCGTTGTGGTTTTGTGGTTCTTCCTTGAAAAGGAGACCAAACGACACATGTTGCGATTTTCCCCTCAATGGAACCACTTGGTTCCCCTGTAAGGAGACGATCTAATTGCGGGACAGCATCTGACCTGGCTTGAGGCACATTGCTTTGCGATCGGAAGTGGAGGACATTTTCATATGGACAGTTTCCTTGCGGCTTCTCCTTGAAAACCACCCAACAACTCCACCTCCAGAATGAACCACAAACACAAGCTGCAGTGAGTGACCTGGCCTTTGCAGAAAACAAGTGTGTCCCACTCTGTCCCGATCCCACATTTACCATAGACTAAATGATTCTCACCCGACCTCGTGGGTTTGCAAGCGCTTTCACTCGCGGCTTACAGCGGCACTGGCAGCCGCAAGGTGTGCAGCACAAAGAGCAACGTGCTCAAAACTGCCACACCGCCGGCCTGGCGTCGACAGGCTGGATTTTGACTCTCAGACATCGAAAACAGTGAGGATTTATGCCCAACCATGTGTGAAGGGCTCCTGCGTGTTTATCCAAACTAGGGACCTCATCTGGGTGGTTGGTTGCCGCGCATCCAGAAGATGCTACTGACCGGGACCGTGGCCATGAACATAGACCGATCGCAATACAGCGCGAGACCTGGTGGGCGACCCCCAGCTCGATGGGCACATACAGCATCAGCGTGGCGATGCCCAGCATCCTCAGGAAATATGGTGAACCACCAGTAGCTCAAACATATGAGTCACAGCTTGAAACCTGCTTGGGGAGATTCTGGGTGGACATCATTGGGGATGGTTGTTCCCATAGTCCTTGAGAAGCCACTTGGCCCTTAGACCTTGAACTTCTTGTGGGAAGTATGCCAACTCCATCCGAGCAAACATTACGTGCTGTCCTAGTACGTAATGTAATGTATGTGTTATTAAATATACGTGTATTGTATACACGTATAATGGGTCTTCAAAGATGGGTACTAGTCAAAGGCTGGCAGCAAAGGAGCTGCCAAACCATTCTCAAGTCTATATATATATATACAGTGTATATATATATATAATTGAGAATGGTTTGGCAGCTCCTTTGCTGCCAGCCTTTGACTAGTACCCATCTTTGAAGACCCATCACCAGGTCCCACCGAGATGAAATCTTACCTGCAGATCTGTTGCTTGAAACAGATGCAAGGCATTTCCTGATGTCTTCCATTCGCCACAAAGCAGCAGGGGTCCAAAACTTCTTTTGATTCTATCAACACCGTTGCTTCAATTTGTTTGAAGGGCCTCACAACAAGCCCCACAAAACCAGAGGTAGACCCCCTGACTAAATTGGCCAAGCAATAAGCCAGGCAGGAGAACCTTCCTGGGGTTTGCGGCCGCTCAGTTGGAACCGTGAATTTCCACTTTTGAGAAATGCCAGGGGCTGCACTTCTTTCAACTGGTGAAAACGGAGCCAAGTGAGCAGTTCCATCATTCACCAAATGCACGCGGCTTTTCCACGCCCTTCCCCCTACCATTGGAGAGCGGTTGTCCTGCCAGGTCTCCGCCAGATTGGTGGGCAAGCCCCAGAGCTATCCAAACATGCCACGTCAAACCTGCATCTGGTCATCTTGAATGAAGTAAGCTCCATGTGGGCAATCCCCAAAACCCCCATGCATGGCGTACCTGGAGCCCCCCTTGTGAAGCCCGATGGACCTCGAGACGGTCAAGAGGCATCTGCGCGCCCAGGGCCAGCGGCAGCAGCCCCACGGCGCCGGCCGCTGCGGGCGCCAGCGCCAAGCGCATGGAGTGGGCCTGGGCGTCAAAGAAGGCGGGTCACTGTTGGTATCCAGATAGATGATCATAGATGTACATATTTGTTGCCATAGGTGTTCAATCGCATTGACACCTTCAAATATACGGTGCATCTGCATGTATATGTATAACACAACATACATTACATTACTCACACACACACACACACCTTCAGGAGCCAACATTCGCCGTCGCTTGAGAAAGGGCAGGACTACGGCCGGGGTGGCTCAGGGGCGTAGGGGGGAGGGGTGTGTGTGTGTGTGTGTGTGTGGGTGGATGGTTGGGTTGTTGGGTCAATAGCGCCGGGGGGGCAGGGTACAAGCGTCAGGCTGTCGCCAGAGGTCATGCCAGCTGCTTTGAGGCGTGTGCCGGGTGTGCAAAGCAAGCCATGAGACGTGGTGCTTTGTGTTGGCGTGGCAATATCCGAGTCGTGGCCTCGTCTCGTTTAACCAGCCAATTTGGGCAGGCGATGTCAGCTTGCAGCAAACAAGTGAATGACTTGCATGGAGCTTCAGGCCGGGACGACCTCGGGACAGGTTCAGGGCTTGCCGCGGCCCATGAGCGTGTGTGTGTATATATATATATATATATGTAGATGTACCCCCCCCCCCATTTAGATCTCTGTTTAGAAAATATTGTATTTAGATCCTGGATCCAAGATCCAAGATCGAAGATTCTGGGGTCATTAGTGTCTGCTCACTCTGAGGAAAAGCAGAATGTCCTTCGCTCCCTCAACTCCTTGGGAAAAATCCCGGATCAATAAATGTCCCCCAATCGTCCCCCAGAAACCCTGCATTTTAGATCTGAATGCTGTGTTGAGAATTTTAGAGTCAGCAGTCATAATTTCAGGGGGCACGTTGACAAAAAAGGTTCACAACAAGCTGCATAGGCCAGCTTCAATGTTGAGTATCCTTCGTTTCTGGAGTCAGGATTCTGGCAAAATGCTATTGCTTCTTGTTCCTGGGATGCCCAAACTTCCGGTCCCGTTGCTGTAAATTCCCGTAGTCTGCCATGGTTGGATTGCTTGTTTCTCTCTTTGTTGTAATGGAATTACTTTCTGTCCAAAACCAGAATAAAATGGCTTAATACACTGTAGTCTTAAACGGACTCTACGGCCGTTTTTTCTCTGGAGTCAAAATTTTGGAAAAAGCTTTCCTCTTGAATCCAGAAGTTAAGCATGTCTTTTGTGCAAGAGGCATCCATATTTTTCCTGTTCAGAAACACCTGCTCAGAGAACTTGCTCAAAGAACTTGCTCAGGGTAACTTGCTCAGAGAACTTAGACTCAGCTTTTTCCGTGCAACAGAATGCGGTTCTACTATAGAGTAAACGATGTTTCTGGCCACCTGCCTTCTAGTTATTTTTGTGCACGGAGAACCGAATGTTCCTTTTGTGGGTCCAGTTTCTATACTT